CCACCAGGGAAGCCCACTCCTGTGTTCTTCTGACTTGCCCCATCCTTTTTTTTTTTAAACATAGAATGGTATTTTTTAGGTTTATGTCACTATTGTCAATTAAACTAGAAAGATCCTGAAGGGGCATAGCTATCTCCTTAACTAATATCTGTATTAATTAGCCTTACAAAACTATATGATGCTAAGAGTTGGAAAAAGATCTTAGAGGCTATAATTCAGCCCCATCCTTTACCTTGAATTTTCATCAACCCTCTATTCAGTTTCATCGACACCTCTATTCAGTTCTGTGTTAGCACTAAGAAAGGAAGACTTACAACTTACAAGCCTGCATTTTTGTTATGGAATTTATAACATGTTTTACAATGAGCCAAAATTTAATCCTTATTCTGTATAACTCCTCAATTAGTTAACTTTTAAACTGACACACAGCACTGAGTATTACCAGAGCCTTCACCATTTTCCATATGATATGGTTTCATATTTCTCCCATGATCCTGGTAATTCTGCTGTAAGTTGCAGTTTATTATTATATAGCCCTAAGCTAATTACAAGAGGTGATAGATGTGATGTCACTACGACAGTACCACTTCCCTTGTTCTGGATACTTTTTATTTTTAATGCAGCCTATTATTTTAGCTATTTTGAGAGCCACGTATCACTGATTCACTTTATGGTCTCTAAAACCTCAAGTCCCAACATGTAGCGCTGTTCAATGGTGGCTTTCCCTTCATGTACGTATTTAATGGATTTATTAAAACAAAGTCTCAGATTTCTTATTTTTTCTATAGATCCCCATGTTGTTAGATTTTAGCCTATTGATTCATCTTGTCTAGCTGAAGGTGAATCTTCTCATGCAATATATTTCTCTTATAGTATGTTTCCTATTTTAGTATATATCACTAGTAAATATGACTCCAAAATACCCTCATGCTAATCCTGCAAAAGACAAATGTAGCAACCCAGTATAGACCAATGCAGTTTAATAATCTTTCTAACAGGACAGATAGAAAAGTGTAATTCCCAAAACAGTTACATGGATATTACATATCGATGTTGGAAATGTAAACAAATTTAGTAGTGGGAAGACAAGTCTAGGTAAAATAAAAGGAATTTTTGAGTAGCACTGGGCAGGGAAGTAAGGTAGGTAAGAGAATAGCAAAGATAAACCCTTTATTTTGCTTGATGTCAAAAAGTGAGATGTCTCAGGTTTTTATTTTACTCCCTAATTTCAGTTCCAGTTAAAAATGATTGAGCAGATAGTTTGTTATATGGGGTTTAAAAGCTTTTGTTTAGCTACAGGTGAATGTATAAGAATTATAAACATCAAATTTAGAATACTGAATATCTTGGGTATACAGTACCCAGAAAGCTCAACTGTATTGGGTGATACTTTAGCTCTTAAATGGGGTGTTGGGTTCACAAAAGTTGATTATATTATTCTTGACACTTTTTCATAATCTAAAATATTTCATAATTAAAAAATAGTTTAGTAAAAATATATTTGGATTTTATTTTATGTTCAGTATAGCAGTGCAATTTATTCTATTTCTTGACTCATTCAAGTCTTTAATAAACAACTAATGGTTATGAAAGTGGCTCAACCTGTAGCTCTAAAGTTCTATATAATTTTAAGTTAGCAGATAAGCCAATTTTATTACTATGTCCTTTAACTGCATAATTACATTGATAAAAATACATTCTTCTCAAATTCAAGAATATAAGTAAGGAAACTACATCATTAACACTAGAATGAACTCTAAAATATGAGAGGAATTTTATAATATATAAATATTCTGACTTTCCAACTATATAGTTATAAATTTTTTGACAACACTTTTTTGAAAAACTTGAAGATTTTGCAAGATAAGCATGCATTATCTTCTTCATTTTGTAATTTTTTAAATGGAAACAGAAGAGCAGATGATTTATTGGCTATTGCCCAGGAAAATACGAGTATACCGGCTACTACATGAAAACCTGATACAGTGATCCTGCTTTGAAACAGCTGTCCCTCCTTTGAATTATCAAACGCATGCTTCTATCATGGTGCTTAATGGTCATAGGGAGTTTACGGAAGCAACAAAGAAATTCACCCTCTCCCTCTACTGCCAAAACATGTAGACCCCACACACTTGAAAAATAAGGTCATCTGAGTATGGCAAATTCTCAAAAAAATAAACACAATTACCATATGATCCAGCAATTCCACTTCTGGGTATATATCCCAAAGAAGTGAAAGCAGGGACTTGAAAAGATACTTGTACGACCCACGTTTATACCAGCACTATTCATAACAGAAGGTGGAGGTAACCGAAGTGTCCACTGTCAGATGAATGCATAAACGAAATATGGTGTATGTACACAATGGAATATTATTTAGCTTTAAAAGGAAGGAAATTCTGAGACATACTACCACACTGGATGAACCTTGACATTAATGCTAAGTGAAATAAGCCAGTAACGAAAGGACAAGTACCGTGTGAGCCCACTTACATGAGGTACCTAGAGTAGTCAAAGTCATAAGGACAGAAAGAATGGTGGTTGCCAGGGGCTGAGATGAAAGGGAAATGGGAAATTAGTGTTTAATGGATACAGAGTTTCAGCTGGGGAAGATGAAGAAGTTTTGGAGATGGATGGTAGTGACCGCTGCACAACAATGTGAATGTACTTATTGCCACTGAACTGTTTAAAATGGTGATTTTGTTAACATATATTTTAATACAATTTTTAAAAAGCAGTAAATTTGTAAAATAAGCATAATCGTTCTGCAAACGAAATAAAAAGCAAAATATCTTCCAAAGATGATATCTGATTGATGGTATTACCATTAATGAAAGAATGTTCCACATCAAAAAATATTTGTCAGCAAAGAAACTTTAAAAAGAGAAAGGCAAATGACAGTGTATTTTTAGCACAATCCAACCTATGAAGAACATAAGGCAGGTATGTGACTCAAGTGGAAAGGGGTGCATCAGGCCTGAAATATTAGCTGTTAAAAGCACCAAACTCATTTCTATTGCTTCCATTCCATTGTGCTAAACAATCATTATAATTTGGATCTGGCTTTCATTGTAATTTGATCAACACAGAGAAGGTAAGGATCAGCAAGCTCAACTATCCTAGACCCTCCATCATTTCTCTTAAGTTAATACATTAGTATTATGGGTTTTACATAGCAGTTTCTTAGCAAATTGAGTGTGTGACTCAGCACTACAGAGTGCAGTCACTTCCAGATCTGATAAACCAATTTCAACCTAAGAAAAGAATCAGATGTTTAAACCCAGTCATCACACCATGGTCCTGCTAGACTGTGGATACCGCCTTCCCCTGCAACTTTTCTCTCAATGCACATTTTCCATAATGCTGTATTGTAATTGCCTATTATTAGACTCAGTTCCTTGAAAATAGAAAATGGATTTTATCTTTGATCCCTAACAACTAATAAACTGCCTAGCACAAAGGAAAGAACCAATAAATATGCGATATGTGAAAATGAAATCCAGTTTAGTAAGATAATTAGGGAATGAGTATTGTAGAGATTGTTCTATATAAAGTTTTCCTCTTAAGTTTACAAATGGAAAGCTAAGCAATAGCAGAGACAAAGTGAACATATTCAGAGCTTTCAATTCAAGTTGAAGTTACAGTGGTTAAGCCATATTTTCTTGAGAACGCCCATGAATGTGGCATTCAAACCATATGATGTGATCTGCATGAAAGCTCAGACAAGCCCCAGAGAGCATGCCTTTCCCGCAATAACTTCTCCAGTACGATAAAGAACATGGAAGCTTTATACCTTCACTTGCCAAATATGTGGGACCTGGTGTAAGTACCATTTCTTTCTACCACCCACATGCACTCAAAGAATAAAATATCTTCCTAATGTGTCCTAAAGTTTGGCTCTTTCACATAATGCAGCATTCAGACTCAGTACCAGCCAAGAGTGCCCAGTTAAGGATTCTACTATTGATACTACCAAACACAACAGGGATAACTCTTGACAGCACAGGAGAGTACTGGAACAAAGTAATTCAAGTTGCAAGAAAAACAATGCCAGACAGGAATGATTTTATGTTCAGAATAGATCACAGTGTATAAGAAAATAACTCCTGACCTATCATATGCAATCAGGATGACTACTTTTTCTTAACCTTTAGGTCTTAAGTTTTCTTTTTTCCTCTTTTGGGTCAACAACACATCCTAGGGAAAATATGAACTATTTAATCTTCTGTCAGTTTGAAAACAGACTCCAGAGCAGATGGCCTGACTTCTAATACTAGCTCTGCACTTACAAGCTGTGTAATCTGCAAATCACCCAAACTCTATGGTCCAGTTGTCTCATCTGCAAAATGAGGACAGTAACTACCTTATGCGATTGTTGTGAGGATTAATTAATCTGCAACAGTGCCTGGCACATAGTAAGTGCCACTTTATTGTTAATTATGGTTATTATTGTCACATAAATGAACTTTTTGTAAGTTCTACCTTAAAAATTCTTACTAATGTCCTGATAATTATAAATTTACATATCTGGAAATCATGAATTACACATCTGCCACTAGACCATAACTGTGACTTCCCTACCTCATACCAAGAGCTTCACACCATGCAAGGCGCAGATACATGTGCCAGCCCTGTCCAACCTTGCATTTATAAAGTCCTTGTTCAGTAAAATCTTAGCGCCTAGCAGGGAAGAAAAACAGATTGGGATAAATCTATTCAAATGGTAACAAGTTCACATACAAATAAAAACAAAAGAAAACTGAAGGAGGTACAAGAGGTACAAGGAGGTACATAAAATGCTGAAGTACATACTTTACCTCCAGAGTAAGCAAAGTCATACTTTTCTCTCAGTGGTGTACAAATTCCAGCCTAAGGCAAAAACTTTTTTTTTTTTTAACGTAGCATAGTGTTTAGAACTAAATGTTATGTAGTCGAATCTGTGCTCAGTCTCCACTAGATCAGTCACTAGCCGTGTGACCTTATAGAATTCTTACCTACAAATCTGGGAGAATTGCTTGAGCGCACGATCTGGGGAATGAGAGCCTTTGTGCTTATATTTACTCGAAGAGTGACGCCTTCTAGGGGAATACCAGCTGACCCTGGCGACGGGACGCGGGCTTCGTGTTGATGACATCACTTCCGGGGCGACAGGTTCGGGCTTCCTTGCACCTAGGAAAGGGCGGTCGATCGGCTCTGCTGCGGAAAGTAGACGAGTACTAGTTACTGTCGTTCACGAGGAAGGTGGGTGAAACAGCTCAGCTCTCTCTCCACTGATGCTTTCGCGCGCCTGGAAAAGCGGTTCCAGTCAGAGTCCCTCGCCTTAGAGCAGACAGAGACCAGCGCTGGCCAAGTGCCCAGGGTTCGCTTGGGATCCTTCCTGGCCCGAACGAGGAGGGCTTCGCACAAGCCTCCTTGGCTGGATTTAGTGACTATAAGTCTAATTTCTCGTGGCGCGTCTGTTGGGGCTGCATCCTCTGCAGGGGTCCTCTGTGAATAGGTCGCTTATCTCTAATCCCTGGATGCCCTCTGCTCCTGTGGAACAATAAAAGTTCCAATATTCGCTCTTTTATTTTTTTCCATTTTGTCCATTAGTGTGATAGGGAAAGAGCCTACTTAAATATCTAGAAGGTTCTAGAACAGGTGATTTGGGATGCATGAGACTAGATATTTGGCAGTGTGAAAAAACCAGGGTGCTTTAATGATGGACTGCTGTTATTGGGGGCAAAGAGGATTTGGGGAGATCCCTATTATGATAAACCTGTGGCAGAAATGGAGATTTAATTCAAACAATTGTAATTAATGGATGAAATAGGTATTAAGTTACGGTCGTTTTAGTTGAGATGCTCTTTTAAAATGAGCTTTATGAGGGCTTCCCTGGTGGCGCAGTGGTTGCGAGTCCGCCTGCCGATGCAGGGAACACGGGTTCGTGCCCTGGTCCGGGAAGATCCCACATGCCGCGGAGCGGCTAGGCCCGTGAGCCATGGCCAAGCAGGCAAATAGATGAGCTTTATGAGAACACTTGTTTCTAAACTTAGACGACTAGATCTTACTTTGTGTTTTATGCGAACTATTGTTTTCCGACCAAATGATTAAATTTTTCTTTTGAAAGGTGTTTCTAGGAAATGGAATGCATTGATTTTCATCAGTTCCATTTTGCCCTTATTGATTTTTTTTAAACCACATTTTGTCTTAATTTTAGCTATAAAAAATGAATAGCACTTTTCAAAAGACTATCCATGCAGCTGTTGTACTGTAACATTAGCTGTTTTATAAAGAATAATCAATAGTTTGGTAAGAACAGCATGCAAGTAATAGTAATAATAAAAATTTTATATCTAACTTACCGTTTTCCCTCTTAAAGAGCATTATATTCATTCATACTGTTATTTATATTAACAGATTTCTACAGACTAAAATTTTTTGCTAACTTTTACAAACCTTTCCTAAATTTTTATAAAACTATATATTGAAAAATAAACCAAGTTTTTGGAATTTTGCTTTACTGAATGGGCTAGTGGCTAATGTCAGTTCCAAATAATAGTTTGTTTCTTTAATTCTTTTCCAGGAATTATCTATACAGTAAATATGCTAATATTGAATAAGACAGCAGGAGTTTTTTCTAAACCATCAAAAAGGAATATGTATGAATTTCTAAGAAGTTTTAATTTTCATCCTGGAAAACTATTTCTTCATAAACTAGTTTTGGGAATTGAAACCAGTTGTGATGATACAGCAGCTGCTGTGGTGGATGAAACCGGAAATGTTTTGGGAGAAGCAATACATTCCCAAACCGAAGTTCATTTAAAGTGAGTAGACATTATCTTGGTAGTTTCCACTTTTTTTTGGAAAAATAAAATGAAATAATTTTTTTTGTATTTATTACATACAAAAGTTAAATTTTAAGAACTAATTTCTTCTTTCATGCAAAAGTTTCTAATTACTGCCGTAGAAAACCTTAAACCCCTCAACCTGGCTTTTAAGGAGCTCCACAGTAAGGTCCCAACCTTAGCTAATCCTGTTGCCAAAAAGAAACTAAACTCCAATATTTATCCATGATTTCCCTTCATGCCTTTTTCTCTTTTGTCCACCTGTTATGTTTCATGGTCTCAACTGAAGTCCTAAGAAAGTATGACCTGACCTCTAGCCTGTGTTAATCACTGCAAAAGAAAATCCTATTCACATTTACACATATAATTCATATTGGTACTTAAATAACAATATACTGTTGTATTAAAGCACAGAATGGTGCCAGGTTTATAAACTCAGATTTTTCCAGAGGGCCACCAGGCAGGTTACATAAATAGGTGGGCTGGGTATAATGTGGAAAATATCTATAGGAGGTCACTACTCAGCTCCAGCCAGTTGTTGCCATGCAAGAATGTAGGCCTTATGTTATTTGATTATCAGAATTTTCAAGAGAAAATGGAAATCCAGAATGTTATGGTAATATCTCCCAGATTTTAAAAATTAGTAGGTAATTCAAATATATTAAAATACCATACAGTTCAGATATGCCGTCAAGCCATTAATTTACAACATCTGAATAGTGAAAAAGTTTGGTGTTTTGAGATCACAAACCTGTGTGTGAATCATGAATTAGTGATTGGTATTGGCTGTGACTTGGGAAGTTCCTGATCCTCTCTGATTCTGTTTTCACATCCATAAAATGGGAAAGATAATGTCTATCTTATAGGATTGTGGGGTGCATAATAGAAATAATACAGAATATTAGAAATAGTATACGTGAAGAGGCAGAGTAGGCCTCTGATGGTTACGTATTATATGAAAGGGACTGTGTTAGGTCTTAATAAGGCACAGTGAAATACTAGCAAGTCCTTGCCTTTAAGAAGCTTAACCTAATCTTTGAGACATGGTATGTAGACCTACAAGGAAAGTTAGCAGTGCAAGGCAGCATAAAGTGAGTATCAAAGAAGTATTGCAGACAATAACTTATTACCATGCCTCAGTTTTACAGTTCTTTCATTATTTTGGGGTGTATTGGACATTTGAACATGTAAATGTTAGCTGCACAGAAAGGCCTACCCTAACTACTTAATCTAAATTAGGTACTCCCACCCTGTTTATTCTATATACCATATCCTGCATATTTTCCTCATAATTCTTTTCATGATTTTTATGTTTGTTTACTTATGTACAGTCTTTCCCCCAATAGACTCTCAGCTCCATGGTGACAGGGGCTGCGTCTGTATCAACCACTACACTATGCCTAGTGCCCAGCATAGCACCTGACATGTTGCAGGGGTCAGTGGCCTTGAGAGATAGTTAGGCCTTCAATGAAAGAGGATGGAAAGAATATTGTAGGCTGAGAGAGCATCACTGGCAAAGGCAAAGAGGTGAGAAAGTACTGGGCAAACACTTAGTTTAGCTAGCGCGTGAGTCACTTGAGAGGAATATATAGGCAAATAAACTATTTGGTACCATCTCCTCAGCGCATCTCATTATTTATTGAATACCTACAATTGCAAGGCAGCATCTGAGGCACTGTGGGTACATATATATGATCCTTTCCTCTGAGCAGCTTACCATATAAAGTGGTTTACATTCTGATTCAGCCACTGACTAGTTTTGAGACCTTGCACCATTTTCTATGTCTTAGTGTCCTTATCTGTGAAATGGGGATAATAATGACAACCAGCTTATAATATTGTTGTGAAGGTTAAATGTGAATTCTTTTAAAGCATTTAGTGCAGTCTTGACAAATAGCAAGGGCTCAAAAAAACCTACCTATTACTAGTAACAATAGTACTTCTCTTACTACTATAAAGTGAAGAAGGCAGATAGGTAAATAGGTCATTGTAAAACAGCATGGAAAGTGCAATAATAGAGGATTGCTTGGAAGAGGAGTTCTTTCTTTAAAGCCAGACACCTGAAGGACAATCTTGACTTCTCCCTCACCACTCTGTACCCAAATCAGTCACCTAGTCATAGTAAATCTACCTCCCAAATATTTCTTGAAACTTTTCCTCCCACTTTCCACTTAGTTCAAGCCCTTATTGTCTCTTGCCTGGACTCTTGGCTCCAGTCTTGAGGCTAAATGGTTTCACTGCCTCTTTATTAGCTTTGTTCTTTAATCGTCCACTTTCCATACTGTCTACAAATTATTATTTGATTATTAATTAATGATTTTATTAATCATAATTAATTCTTTGAGAATAAAGCCATGGTCTTATTCATCTCTTCTGTCTCTGATGCTTAGCATAATCCTTAGAAGATAATACATAGAAGAGGCACAGAAAGGAAGGGGAGTAGGCAAGTGGGAGGAGGAAGAAATGAGTAGTAGGGAGAGGATTTGGATTTAAAGTCTCCCAAATTCCAAGAAAGTAAAAGCTTTTGAGTAGGTGAGTGATGAGGTCAGCACTGTGCTTTTTTTCTGGCAACACCATACAGAACAATTCCAAGGATCAGAGAATGTATCTAGGGAAGTACAGTTAGAAGGCTTTGAATAGACTGAGTTAATGAGAGCTTTTCGAACTTGGTGGTGGCAGTGGGACAGTGCTGACCTTATCAATGGTGATAAACTTAATTAAATGTGGAAAGTAAGGGAAAGAAAGGAGATAAAGATAAGCCTGGAAACCCAAGTGATTAGGAGGTTATTGATGCCATTAACAGAATTGAGGAATATAGGAGAAAAAGTCACTTTGAAGAATTAAGGAAAATGGTATTATATTATGGATGTGTTGAAATAAGATCATTTCTTTTAAATATTGCCCTCATTGACTGACACAGTACATATTTTAACTATTAAATATTCATTGAATGCCGTGTATATAGATCTTACAACATCAATATTTGAAGGGTTTTTTTTTGAGATTAGAGGTACATCTTGCAGACCCTCTATATTTTTGCTCTGCCTGTCTGATCAGTCACATGCTGGCTAATTTTTTGCTAACAACTTTGCCTTCTAATTCTTTATTCTTGACATTTGGAGTGGTCATCCACTGCTTGTCCTATACGGACCAAAAATCAAAATTACCAATCCAATTAAAGACTGGATTCCCAAACTTTATTTCAGGATTTCAAGCTGTCTGCTGTCCTACCATGAGCTCAAGTGCAGTGTGTTTAAAAATAAACTCGTCTTCTTCACAAAACTGTCTTCATGTTTCTCTCTGTTAGTATTTCTTTTCTTCCAGTCAGATAGATTAATTTTCCTAAAATCCAGTTTTATCCTGTCCTTTCCTTATTCAAGACTCCTTCCTTAGAATGCTTCTCAAAATTATTTTGGTGATTTCATTTATCAAGAAACAAATCCATAGGAGTTTGTTGTATACAGTTTTGAAAAGTTAGAGACATTAAATAACATCCTTAATCACTGCATGGTGAGTTCTTATAATGTACTGTACATTATAAGGCACACATAATTTGAAAATACTTGACTTACTAATGTGTTTAGCTATATAATGGTTAATTTGAAAACATGCCTTCAGCCATAATATATACTTTTTCTTTCTCTATTTTTATAATCTTAAAATTATAAAAAGCTATTTTTTTATATCTTTCAGAACAGGTGGGATTATTCCTTCAGTAGCTCAACAGCTTCATAGAGAAAATATTCAACGCATAGTGCAAGAAGCTCTCTCTGCCAGTAAAGTCTCTCCAAGTGAACTCTCAGCAATTGCAACTACCATAAAACCAGGACTGGCTTTAAGCTTGGGTGTAGGCTTATCATTTAGCTTACAACTGGTAGACCAGTTAAAAAAGCCCTTCATTCCCATTCATCATATGGAGGCTCATGCACTTACTATTAGGTTGACAAATAAAGTAGAATTTCCTTTTTTAGTTCTTTTGATTTCAGGAGGTCATTGTCTTTTGGCATTAGTTAGAGGAGTTTCAGATTTTCTGCTTCTTGGAAAGTCTTTGGATATAGCGCCAGGTGACATGCTTGACAAGGTAATTATTTAAGAATTAATATCTCTATTCTTTTTTGTTAAGGTGTCTATTTCAGCTAAATAGTAATAGATACACTACTGCTATTCATCTAAATATTTCTGAATAATATATTAGACTGAAAAAACTTATGTGCAGTAGTAAACAAAAAAAGAGTAGTACATAATTTTATAAAAGATCCCTTCTTACCCATTCCGAATAAAATGATATGAGGTTTACATCAGTATATAAAGGCTCAAATGGTTTGTATATACACTTTTTTTAATCAAATAACATAATATATGAAAGAAAGTGCTTTGTGAAGTGTAATGTACCTTTAAAAAGTGAAATAAGAGGATATATAAAGATAACATAAGGACATTAAAGATGCACAAAGTTCTATTATTAAATGTTACAATTGCTGACACCACTGACAAGCAGATTTCTTTTCCTTTGTTTTAGAATATTAAAGCCTACTGCCTTATAAAAAAAACCTGTTGCCAACAGCTGAAATGATTGGAAGAAATAGGACAGGTTCTTATTTTTGAAGTTCATCATTAAGCAGTCATTGTCATTTTCAAACCTATTTTCCATCCCCAGTAGAAGAGCAAAAGTAGATAGGAAGGCAGTGATTGGCCACTATTGATCAGGTTGTCAGAAACAGCAAGATTGTCTGTCTTGACTGACCACCAGCTCTGGTCCATGTTTGTAAAAGTATTGCATGTCTTATTCACCCAGGGTAAAATTCATTTCCTTTGCACCCTGGTTTCAAAATGTACAGTTTCATGACATTACAAAAATTTTTGTTTGTTTTTGATAGGTAGCAAGAAGACTTTCTTTAATAAAACATCCAGAGTGCTCCACCATGAGTGGTGGGAAGGCTATAGAACATTTGGCCAAACAGGGAAATAAACTGCATTTTGATTTCAAACCTCCCATGCAACATGCTAAAAATTGTGACTTTTCTTTTTCTGGACTTCATCACATTATTGATAAGATGATAATGCAAAAGGAAAAAGAAGAAGGTATATTTCTAATTAGTAAAGTTGGACAAATAAGTAATACTGGATTGTACCTAAAAATACCTGCTCATTCCTGCAGGTATTGAGAAGGGGCAAATCCTGTCTTCAGCTGCAGATATTGCTGCTGCAGTACAGCACACAGTAGCCTGCCACATTGCAAAAAGAACACATCGTGCTATTCTATTTTGCAAGCAGAGAGACTTGTTATGTCAAAGTAATGCAGTACTGGTAAGTTTTGTAATTTTAGAATAGTAGTAATCCTTTACAGTATGTTACTTTCCTTCCCAGAGATTAATTGACCCTAAGCATCGGATGAAAAGATCTTTATGCCATATGCTATCCCAGACAGTATGAAATCACGTAGAATAAAAACTAACAGCCATTGGGATTTCCCTGGTGGTGCAGTGGTTAAGAATCCGCCTGCCAACACAGGGGACATGAGTTCGAGCCCCGGTCTGGGAAGATCCCACATGCCGCGAAGCAGCTAAGCCCGTGCACCACGACTACTGAGCCTGTGCTCTAGATCCAGTGAGCCACAACTACTGAGCCCACGCGCGTGGAACCCGTGCTTCGCAACAAGAGAAGCCACCGCAATGAGAAGACCTCTCACCGCAACTAAAGAAAGCCCACGTGCAGCAATGAAGACCCAATGCAGCCAAAAATAAATAAATAATTAATTAAAAACAAAACAAAACAAAACTTTTAACAGCCATTCCCTGTACAGGCCTGGCAGCTTTATAGGACATCTGTACAGCCTATGTGGCAAAAAAGTTCAAGGCTGCATCTTATTGAATTTAAAAGAGGGTTTACAGTATGAAACAAAATGCAGTATAACTGCTGTCATTATTGAAGGAAAAATAGGCTGTTTCCTTCAGATTTATGTTCCTTTGATGAAATCCCTTTAAATGTGCTTAAAAGCCTTGATAAATTTCCTGTGTATCTTAAACTTCATTCTTTGGAAAATTGTAAAGCGAGAAAAATATTTAAATGGTAGGTTCACAAAATGGAATATTACACAAATATCAAAGGTAATAGTTTAAGAATTATGTAGTAAAATGAAAAAAATGCTTATAAGTGAAAACTGCAGGGTCTAAAATACTGTATGATTAATGAGAAAAGGGTTAGAAGAAAATACAAAAATGAAAGTGATCATATGGTAATATTGAAATTGTTGGTGACTTCTGTTTCCTTTGCAAATGTTTATTATATAGATGTATCACTTGCTCATTACCCACCTACCAAAATGTGATATTGTCTTATTGTATAATGCTGGTAATTTCCCCAGGTTTAGCTCACAGCTTAGCTCATATTCATGTGTGATATTTGTTAATTTTGGTTTTCTCAACTTTTTCAGGTTGTATCTGGAGGCGTTGCAAGTAACTTACATATCCGAAAAGCTCTGGAAATCGTGACAGATGCAACACAATGCACTTTGTTGTGTCCTCCTCCCAGACTGTGCACTGACAACGGCGTTATGATTGCGTGGTAAGCCATGGATGTTTGTGCTTCACTCATAATTATGTAAATATTAATTGCCATTTCATCATGCTAAATTTTCTTCCTTTAAATCTTGGGCTAGTTATTTTATTTTTATTGATTCTTATTTAGGAATGGTGTTGAAAGATTGCGTGCTGGCTTGGGCATTTTACACAGCACAGAAGGCATCCGCTATGAGCCAAAGTACGTGGTACCATTCATAATCTTTATGCAAGCTGCATTGTAAAAGTCAAAGCCTGGATTTTGCTTTTATATTTGAGGTTTTCATTGACACTCTGGTGGTACTTGAAGAAAGAGTACATTAATTTTTTTCATCTAACCTAAGCGTTAGATTCCTTATAAGAAATATTTTTGTTACAGCTTAAATTATATAAATGTTGACAAAGCATAGGTTAGAAACAGGCAGTGGGTAAGGATGATGAATTCCCTCATTGGGGACCAGAATGGAAACCATGTCCATGACCTGGACTTTTGCAGTGTTAGGGCCATCTCAGCATCAGCTGCTGTGCTGGAAACTTAAGGAAAATGTGCAAAAAGCATTCAGGTGTGAGACTGGGTTGTGAGTATATTTCTCCACAGGCAGCTGAGAAATGGCCAAAAGATAGCTGTTTTCTGCAAGCTTTATTTCCTCTCCCAAATCAAAGTTCCTAGGAGTAGCACAGGTTTTCAATTTGTTATCAAGTTCTGGTCTTAAGCTAATTCTGGAATAGTAAAAACAGTAAAGCATGATTATGTTTCATAATCTAGCATAATTCTATTTTCAACAGTGTTTCATCTGCTGTTTTAAACTTTTCAGCATTTTAGTACCTAACTATACCTATGTGAACCATAGACTATTAAGGCTGATCATAAATGAACAGAGTTTAGTTAGTAGTGACTAAACTACTAGTAGAAAGAATCCCTTAAGTTGATGGCCTAGCCTCAGGTAGAATCTACCATCTGATCCAACACTGCCTTCTTGTGGGCAGTGTTGAGGCTGGAGATGATGGCTTTTTTTAGGTTGGGGTCCATTTGAAGCTTTGTATAGGGCAACATTGTACAAAAGCAGAAATCTGAGGCCAAAAGTATTTACTGAGGAAGAACAGAGAAAGAGGGTAGGATCTAAGACCTCTCCTGCCACCAGTGACAAAGGAAGGTAGAAAAGGAGCAAGCTAGCTTTTGAAACCTGGAGAATTTCTGAAGTTGGAATAAATGCAGGTCTGACTTTGTATGGCAAACTGTTTTTACCCTGTTAGCTTTGTAGAGCATTATAAGGCAACTTTTTGTTATTTTTTTCTGTTTCAAGTTTTTATTTATTTACAGTATTTGAGAGAGAACTCTTTCAAAAACATCTTAACCCCAAACTCATTGAATTGTATGCATTAAATATGTATAGCTTTTAACATGTCAATTATACCTCAAAGTGGTTTTAAAAAATTGTCCAATTTAGATTTCTAGCCTTCCTTCACCCATTATTCTGGTTTGAGGTCCTATTGTATTTTTATGGATTCAAGAACCACCATCACATATAATCAGTTATACACTAGATACATATATTGTTTGTCAGAATTCTAAGCAGATAGTTTGCAGAGCTAGTAACAGATCAGTAAACAAATAATGTAAAATAATTTGAAATAATGTGATTTGTCTGATTTTGATGCAGATGTCCTCTTGGAGCAGATATATCAAAAGAAGTTGGAGAAGCTGCCATAAAAGTACCACGATTAAAAATGAACATTTGATTTTTGCTTTTCAAAAGAATCCCTAAAGGTAGTAGTAAAGTTTTGATTTTTTGTATATCAAATATATAATACTAATTGTTCATCAATACTAATTGTTATCAATATAATACTATATATCAAATATATAATACTAATTGTAGTAAAGTTTTGATTTTTTGTATATGAAATATATAATACTTTGTTATCCTTTTTATGTTTGATGTTTGACCTGCTCTTCTGAGAGACTATAATAATATGTTATAGTCTTATAAGGGAGTATAGGTTTTTTTTTTATTATCAAAAACCAAATAAAACATCTTGTGGGAAAAAGAATATACTGATATTGGCAAGTAGAAAGAAAAACCTTGGAAAAAATATAGCAATTATGCTAAATCCTGGCCCCATATTATAAAGGCATAGATCTTTACCCCCCTTTTTCATATCAGGATACATTAGCCTGACTTTTCTAATGAGAGAGCAATTTTAGAAAGGTAGCCAGGTCAAAGTCATGTCAACTCAAGAATTCTAAGTCAAAACAAAAGAATATATGTTAGTAATTATAAAAATATATATATTATTCGGTATCTTCTCTGGAGCAAATGGGATTTCTATACATTTCTTAAAATGGGATTTTAAGAAATATGACATTTTAAGAAATATGACACCAGGGAAGCATGGGCTTCCCTGGTGGCGCAGTGGTTGAGAGTCCGCCTGCCGATACAGGGGACACGGGTTTGTGCCCTGGTCCGGGAAGATCCCACGTGCCGCGGAGCGGCTGGGCCCGTAAGCCATGGCCGCTGAGCCTGCGCGTCCGGAGCCTGTGCTCCGCAACGGGAGGGGCCACAACAGCGAGAGGCCCGCGTACCTCAAAAAAAAAGAAAAGAAAAGAAATATGACATGCAAGTAATTCCTCGAGTGTATACTGTACTTTTTAGTTGGCCACATATATTCACATTCATTATTTTAGAAAGTATATTTAATCAGTGAAAATATATGAGGTGAAAAGGGCTGTTTTATTTTTGGATAATGGGCTGTTTTATTTTTGGGTAATGTCCTTTGACTCTGACTTTTACTGCAGATATCATAACAGTTTATGACTTTTTTTCTGCCCAGATTAAAATAACTGAATGTACTGTCCTTTGAATATAAGGATGATACTACTAACTATTTAATGTCCTTTGAGAGATTTTGCTATGTTACATCATCCATACTGGATCAAATTGTTAATTTTCTAATCAGTGACTTGCTTTATTGAGAAACTAGAGGTTAAGGATAAAAATCTAGAATGAAAAGATTTCTTATTTTAATCCTTCCTTATGGTGACCTTCCCTTTTGGGAAATTCCATAAGTAATTCTTTTTTCTAGAATTGTGATCATAGGATATTGCTTTATGATCCTCCATTTTATCCTGGAAATATAATTTATATGAGAGAACATATAGAAACAGCAACATTTATAAAGCTTACATTCTTTGATGTTGAGGTATAGGTATGATATAATTGGTTTGTAACTATAATTTAGAAGAAACTATTAGTTTGTGAATTCACCTTTTACATTTGGATTTGTATTCTGTATCATGTGAATCTAAATTCACAGAAAGTGTATTTCCTTTGACTGTTACAATAAGAGTGCATATAAACTAATGAAGAAAATTGACCAAAATTTTTTCCCACCATCACAAATTTTATAAAATAGGAATATCGGGCTTCCCTGGTGGCGCAGTGGTTGAGAGTCTGCCTGCCAATGCAGGGGACACGGGTTCGAGCCCTGGTCTGGGAGGATCCCACATGCCGCGGAGCAACTGGGCCCATGAGCCACAACTACTGAGCCTGTGCATCTGGAGCCTGTGCTCCACAACAGGAGAGGCCGCGACTGTGAGAGGCCCGCGCACCGCGATGAAGAGTGGCCCCTGCTCGCTGCAAGCAGAGAAAGCCCTCGCACAGAAACGAAGACCCAACGCAGCCAAATAAATAAATAAAATAGGAATATCTATAATCTGAGTTCTTAAAATTTCAAAGTATCAAAACTATTCCAGATGCTACAAACACACATGTCAAAATTAAGTTCATGATATAAATCAGGTAAACTACAGATTAAAAAAACAAGCAAATTCTGGAAGCATTCCATATATTTAGGTCTTCCAGTATTTAGCCAGAAGGAAGGAAGAGAAAGGGAGAAACATTGAACTCTATATTGGCAAGCATGTGTGCCAGTTAGCTTATAGTACAGGCAAGAGGCAGGCAATTTGCTGAAACTCTCTCTATATTGACACCTTTCTCATCTTACGTATAATTTTTAAAAATAGAAAGCAAGTGCAGGGTAATAAACGTAATCTGTGCTTTGGGGCTGTACTTAAGGAGAAATACTGTAAAGTTTTAAGCGTGGTAGGTTGGCCCGGCTAGGCCTAGATACTCAGGAAATGTCTATGTTATTGAATGCAAAAAAACCCTGATCATCAACTTTGAAACCACCTGAAGCCAGTTTTAAAGCTCAAAGTTTGCTGTCTAAAGGCTTTTATCTTTTGAATGTCTAGAGAGGCTTAATGTTTCCAATGATATGAATTAACAGTGCTGAATAAATGACACAGGTTTGTATCATTTGAATTATTTATCCCTTTCTAGTATAAAATATGCCATTCTTCTCAGAATTCCACCAGGAAGTTGTGACTCAGAGCTATTAAGATAATTTTGAATCAAATTTGAAGATTAAAGAGGTCTCTTATTGTACAGTGGTTAAGAGCACAGGCTTTGGACTGTGGCACACAGGAAGCCCTGAGTACCTGTAGCTGCAGTCACCACCATCATTACTGTTACGTTAAGGCATGTTGGAGAAAATAACTGCTAATTAATGTATGTGTTCACTGCAGCCCAGGTAGACTATAGAGACAATTGAGCAAAGTGGACAGAGAAAAACGGTGGCTCTTTAAAGGACCCACTGAAACCTAGTTAGCTTTTATATCAAATCCATTTGCTGCTGTATGTGAGAAGCAGACATACATACATCAAAACGTGCACCTACTGGAAACAATACTGGTTGGGCAAAGACATCACATGATTCTAAGCCACAAAGAATGTCATCTATTCCAGCTGCAAACCAAAGATACTCTGTACGTATGGAGAATGGTCAACAGTGGTGGCCACACTTTTTAGCCATACTTTTGTGCTTGATGGGAAATGATTTCAGATTTTTCTTTAGTAAAATGTTTTTAAAAGCATACATTTCAGATTTTAGAAGACTCGTGTACCTGTAGTATTTATCATTAAATATCTTAAGGTAGTACAGTGAGTGTTAACATGTAGGCTACTTTGAATCAGGTCTTTTTAGCCCAGCATACCAATTTAAAAATGTTTCTTATTTTAAAATGTTTCTAACACTTGATATATACACGAATTGTGCCACTTGTGTAAGTTGCTATATCTTAATAGTTTTTTTTCTTCTTTATTTTTCTTTTCTTCGCTGTATGCGGGCCTCTCATTGTTGTGGCCTTTCCCGTTGTGGAGCACAGGCTCCGGATGCGCAGGCTCAGTGGCCATGGCTCACAGGCCCAGCCGCTCCGCGGCATGTGGGATCCTCCCGAACCAGGGCACGAAGCCGGGTCCCCTGCATCGGCAGGCAGACTCTCAACCACTGCACCACCAGGGAAGCCCCTATATCTTAATAGTTTTAAGTGCAGGCATTCTATTATAGAAAATTCTACTTATTTTTTGAAACCATAATTCTGACCTGATGTTAAATTTCAGTAGACATGCTAAGGAAAATTTGTTAAGTATCAATATCAAGAACTTCCATTCAAAAAGATTACTCAGTTATGTATATTTTACCACAATTAAAAATAAAAAATTTTAAAAGATTGCTCAGGAATCCTTTTACACTAAAATGTTTTTAATTAGCCTTCTGCAGGCTCCGGATTAGCTTTCTGTACATGTTTCCCAAGTTGGCTCAAAAGCACTATTCTTGGTCTTGATACAGTTGTGATATCTGATGAAATTGCAGATGAAAAGGAAAAACTATTGTGAGAAACAGTGGTCTTTTTTGTTTTGAAGAGTCCCATGAAGTTAGTTACAGGAGGTATAAAAGTCAAAGAATCTCTTGGTTGAATTTTGGGTTTTAATTTTCTTCGGTGCTCTTTCCCTAAAAATTAGAGAGCCACAATTAAGTGTCTCTTTCTTAAGCCTAAGAACCCTAGGTATAGTCTCATTGCTTTTAGTTCTATATATTTCTGTTTTCTTCACATCACTAAAACATACTAAGAGAACAGATCAGTAGCTTCCAGACTTTGAGATGATGCCAGAGTGCAAAAATTTGTGGGGATCAATATACAGTTGCCAACTTTTTATTAGACCAAGTTGGCACTAGTGAAAGAACAAATGCCAGCTACTTTAAACATCGTTTTGTAAAAGATGGGGTATTTTAATGTCAATAGAAAGTGTAAAAGGCATTATCTCAAAATGGAGGACTTTACTTGAATGAAATTAACTTTATCAGAAATTTGATTGTCCTTATTTTTTCTTATGTTACCACAAACCTGTGAAAACTTTATCAGACCGTTACTGGTATACATATTGTTATTCACAAACCAATATTAAAGTGAAGGAATAATGGAACTGGCTTTATTCTTTTATGTAAATTACTCTTACACTAAAGAAGCTATACAAAAACCAGATGTTCTTCTACCCATGATATTCAGAAATAATAGCCTCCCACACATACTTAGCTTCCCTCATATCTCCCTGAATAAATGAAGTTCTTTCCTCTCCTTTTCTTTTCTTTTTTTTTTTTGCTGTACACGGGGCTCTCACTGTCGTGGCCTCTCCCGCTGCAGAGCACAGGCTCCGGATGGGCAGGCTCAGCGGCCATGGCTCACGGGCCCAGCCGCTCCGCGGCATGTGGGATCCTCCCGAACCAGGGCATGAAGCCATGTCCCCTGCATCGGCAGGCGGACTCTCAACCACTGCGCCACCAGGGAAGCCCCCTCTCCTTTTCTTATTCTCTCTCTTTCCATTTGTGACTCCAGCAAAGTGATCTTGATTTCAGAAGGTTCTATTTTTGCTTTTGACAGTAAGGTAATATACCAAGTAAGACTGATTTTGGTCCTACACTACGCACACATGAACAAGCACTAAGCATATACATAAAACCAGTAAGTAATTTATTTTCCCCATTACATGTCTGATAGGAATTGATGAGTAACATTATAAGATCTAGACTCTGATCTCGCAGGCCTAGGCCACTGAGCCATGATCTGCCAACTTTGTATAAAACTACATAGTATCAGTGGAAACTGTGGTCTCTGCCCTAAGAACTTATAAGATAGACAAGTTGTATATGAAACAATAATAGCAAGATCGTAATTAAAGTCATTTACATGTGGGAAAAAGCAAAGAGAGGGATTTCTGTCAAGTGATATTAGTAGGGAAGTCTTAAAAGAAATGATTAACATGGGCTTGTAAATGGGAAGATATTTTAGGTATATAGAATTAAAAAAGCATAAGTTTACAGGTAAACATGTTTTTTGGTAGTCCCTACATTTTAAATTCTTAGAAATGAACAATTATAAAGTCTCAGGGCTAGAAAGTATAAAAGAAAAATCAATTACCTTTTTTAAAGACAGGAATTATGGATGGTCCTCCATTTTTCTCCAGACTAAAAGGAAAACATTTTTATCACAAAAACTAGATATATATAAAGACTTAGTACACCCAGGTACCATGTTCAGTGCCTAATGGTCTAATTTATACGTTACCTGTACTAACTATGCATGTTACCTGTAGGTGTTTTATATTCTGTCACTCATTGACTCGCTTATCACCCAAAACATTTGGAAGAGTAAATCTGCTTGAAGTGATCAGGGAAAGCTCCATTGAAGAAGAGACACTTCAGTTAGACTCTGAAGAAAATAGGTCTTTAAATGGATGAGGTGGGGGGCGGGTATTCCAGATAGAGGGAATAGGATATGAAAAATTACCATACTATAAAACAGCATGGCAAGTTCAAAGGGCACTAAGTAGTCTGGTGTGATCGGAATTAAAGGTATCTGGAGACATGATGGGAGGTAAGTTTGGAGGATAAAGGTCAGGTCATTTTATATATTAATAAGAGAAAATTTAAACTTTATTTTCAAAGCAATGTAATACCTATGAAATGTTTCAAGCCAAAGAATAACAAGGTATACCTAAGTTAACATGATGTGTGTGGCTTTAAAAGAAGTAGTATAGTAATTATCATCCTGTGCATGTAACATATAAATATGGTATTACACAGTTTCCCTGGTAATAAAATGTAAGTCTTGATTAAAGTTAAAATATTAAGACTGCTTATCACAAATGTGTTCCTGGTTAATTTGATGAGGAACATTTGCTGTTGTCAACTTTAATGAGGCACAGGCCCCAATCTATTCAATAGGCCAGCTTCATGGCTATAGGGTTACGTGAAACTAGCTACTCTTAGGCTCAGAGTACTTTCATGGAGGGTCAGTTAACAGTAAAATTATGGCTCTCTACATACTTCAAAATTTATACATCCAAAGACTTCTAATCTGGGGCTGAATAGGGGTGTGGGAATAGAGAAGTGGAATATATTCCAAAACAATGATGTTGTGATCCCAACCAAAATCAATCTACTTTATGTTTCCAGTAGTGGAATCAAGGAATATTTTGTGGAACTTAATCTTTTAGTGCATTTCCCATAGTTTCATTTACATCAAATTCCTTTATAGGATTGTTATGAAAATTAAAGGGAATAGTGTATGTAAATGCTCTAAGGAGAGTGCATAGAATTATTATTAGTTATGGGAGTAATTGTTATTTGCTTACCAGTTCCACCTCACTTGGTAGCCATTCCTATAAGTTTACTGACCACTTGGTACTGCTTATAATCCTGAAAGTTGAGTGTTCACAACTACAGAGGGTGCCATTCACCTTACAGTCATTGTAGATTTGTATGGTTACTACAACCATTTTCCAGGGGATGGCAGTAAAGTGTACTGAGGAAGGGGCATCTTTTTCTAATTCCCAAAAAGTTGCCGTATGGGCTAGCTGTGGGAATGACTGTAAAATAATACTTCCATTATTTAAACTAATTTTTTGAATTGGTGAATATTACTTTTAACATTGTCAATTAAAGCAATTGTAATTTAGTTTTCCCTGGCTTATTATATAAAATTAGATAATCAGTTTGGGGTTTTCAGTTTTTCAAAGAATTCAAATTAAAGTGACTCTGAAGATATACTCATTTTTCTCTATACTTGAAATTGACTTATAGAACCATGATATGCTGTTGGGTCCTATTCTCTTCTACTATCGTAGAGTTAATAATATATCTTGAGTAGTTCTGTTTCCTATATGTAAATAGCACTATTTGCAGAGACTTGTAATTCAGCTACAATTACAGAAGAAGAGAAAATATGTCCATTGTAAGGAGATTCTCCTCTTCTCTCTTTTTTCAGAAACTTAAGTTCATGATAGAACTATAACACTGAGGCAAAATCATCTGAATAAATGCCTGGCAAACTTTGCCATAACTTGAACCACAGGGTCTGATTTAGCCCTGTTTCTGCCCTGGGAATTTGGCCTAGCTTTGGATCAAGTCTAAGAGTCCCATTTGATGCCAAGGTCATAGTGGCATTCCTGGTTGCCTCAGAGCTCTCAAATGTACCCCAGTCTACAAAAAAATGGCTTCCTGGATCAGACTTGGAGGCAACCAGTCTTCCAGAAACTTTTCTGAAAGGCGGATGAATAATCCTGGCCAGACAGGATCCCCAAGATCAGGTTGTATTCTTGTCTGCACTTACAATTCTGTTGCTAACTCGGAATTTAAACAGGCTTTGGCAATGGACATTTAGAATGAAGTTTATCCTTTGTTTTACAATGCGTAGATGCATAACAAGGACGGTTCCCCGTGTTTGATCTTCCTTAAACTTCCTTAAAAATTCCTCTCAGTAACTTTACTACTGCAACTTCAAACATAGAAACAATACCTTAAGGAAGGAAGTCCCACTCTTTGTTGCATTTGAAATTCCTTTAAAAATGCTGGGTTTATACTTGCATCTCTGCTGATATTCTTTGTTATACGAAGGAACTGATTAGGCTTATTCCTGCATTCCTTTAATAAGATTCGGAAAGCATTTGCATTGTAAGTTAAGTAGCCAAGAGCACTGGAGCAAGCCATGCGAACCTAAATGAAGAGGAAACAATTTCTCCTTAACCATTGAGCTTTGTTCTTAAAATATCTAACCCAGTGCTCTCATTAAATATTTCAAAGGAAAGTCTCTGTAGCTATGCATAGCAAATATGTATGTCAACTGATGGCCTCTATAGATAGAAGCATAGCAGCAATATTTTTAGGGAAGGCTGTCAATTGCCATTGATTTCTAGTAGTTGTTCTCAGTCCTGACTGCATTTTTAGAATCACCAGGAGTTTAAAAAAGAAAAAGCCCACCAACTAAATACAGACTCTCTTAGTAGAATCTGGCATTGTATATTGTTCTTAAAGTGCCATAGGTGATTCTAATGGGCAGCCCGAGTTAGAACCTTTGAGTTTGAACTAAGACAGTAGGTCTCAGTCTTCATTGTGCATTGGAATCACCTGGATAACTATGAAAATCATGTCTGTATTCCACCCCCTAGAAACTGATTTAATTACTTTGGGGTGCATTGAACTGAACATTGGGACTTTTCAAAACTGCACAGGTGATTGTAATATAGGAAACCAAGTTAGAGAGTATAGCATAAAAGTAAGTTAAAAATAAGGTGCACAGGGAAGCAACTCAATTTTCCACGGCAAAACCAAAGAAACAAGCACAAGTATCAGGCCATGGGACTCCAGAAAAAGTAATTATTTCTTTGAAGGAAATACCCTCTGCATTTGACTCTGAAGTAATTAGGTTGTTCATATAATTAATAAAAGTATATTCCTGGGAAGTTCTTAGGAGAATCTGTTCATGGTGGCATAAGAAATGTCAAAGAAAGGAACATAAACCAGGCCCATGCAGGGTATCAGAAGGTTGACATAGTGGTCTTTACACTGGCATCTGACTGCTGTATATGCCCAAAAATCTTCCACACCTTGAACAGTGGTTCTGGACCAGCAGCCTCAGCTTCTGGGAACTTGTTAAAAATGCAAATTCTAGGGCCTACACCAGATGTATTAGATCAGAAACTTTGTGAATGGAGCCCAGCAGTCTATGGTGTAACAAGTCCTCCAGGTTATTCTGTTGTACCCTAAAGTTGGAGAAATACTGCCTTAGACCCCGTGGGAAAAGCAAAGGAAACACTACTATGTATAGTAATGTTTTAGAGGCAAAACACTACTGTGGCCAGCCTGGTCTTCAGGTACCCTCACTCTAACACTGTTTGGCAGGTAAGGAAAATTTTCCAATGGATTCCACTTTCATTCACTACAAATAATCATAGAAATGACAATGATTTTAATTATAAAATATAAAATATTTTATAAATAATTATAAATTTCTGTATCATCCATGTACTTGTAGACTGAATCTTAAAGATTGAAGTTAAAATGAATGTGCACATTTTGTGGAAACCAGAATTGTGAATGGCAAATGTAGTACTAGAAAAATAATCAAATTTTGAGTTAGTAATATGAACTATTATATGAGACTCAACCTGTGGAGAAATTAGCCTGCAGAAGTGAGAGAGAGGCAAATTATATTTTAGAATACTCTATTTTCAAATTTATTATTATTATTATTTTTTTTTTTTACCTCTTCTTGCCTTGAGTACAAATGATAGCAGAGCTGTTGGATTGTCCCTAATGTGGTAAATGCTTCTGGAATACCAGCTCTAGAATGAGCCAGGGTAGCTATTAAATTCCCTATAAATTAAACAACAAGAAAAAAAAAGCCTGTGTTATTTAATTGGTATAAACTGATATACTGTGCTTTCATTCACTTGCATATATTAAAGTATTAAAAAAGGTTTGAGGGACTTCCCTGGCGGTCCAGTGGTTAAGACTTAACCTTCCAATGCACGGGGTGCGGGTTAGATCCCTGGTCGGGGAGCTAAGATCGCACATGCCGTGCGGCCAAAAAACCAAAACATAAAACGGAAGCAATATTGTAACAAATTCAATAAAGACTTTAAAAATGGTCCACATCAAAAAAATCTTTAAAAAGGTTTAAGTCTCAAGACATCTCTATTAATGAAGACCTGCTGAGAAAAAGCATGTGTGTTAAATGTAGAATAAACTTTCCCCAAAATTATGGTTTGGTTTTCTGTCACAAACAGTAGAAGTTAAATAGGTTTATTTAAGAGTGGGGAATTTTGAAAAATCAGAGGTTTTCTTCCTCTTGGCTTCAGAATATATTTTGTTTTGAGCTTTTATGGTTTGTTTAATGACTATGAACATAATGTTTGAACTACTGTAAGAAAATTTAATGTCCTTTTTGCAATTCAGATGGCTTTGAGTTCAGAGCTTAATGGTATTTTAAAACCAAGTAATGTATTACTTATTGAAGTTTATGATCATTGAAGTTCTTGTTATAAAAAGAAATGTTTTGAGATTGAAGTAATAAAGTGATTTAGTAATTAAATAAATGTGCAGCTACGAACTTAAGATTGTTTCATTCGAATTCGTGTTTTATTCTTACAACTTCCGTGTGATATTCTTTCACAGTATTGTTGCTGTGTTGGAATAGGTGTAACACAAATTTTAAGATATAAATGTAATTTTACATTTGTGGGTGGATACTTTATTGAGGTATTAACTGAGTTTTTGTTCTCCTTGTATTTTTTTCCAGCCTCCATTATAAGCCAGGAAGCCCTTTGTATTTATTGCCTCAGGATGAGCAGGGCTGGGTTGTATGGCCTAGAGCAAAAATTGTCTAAAGATAACCTTTCTTTCAGGCTTATATTTTCAAAAGCCTGAGTTTATAGAAGGCATTATGCCAGGGGGAAGGGACAGAGGAGTCTTTAAAGATAGGGAGTAAGAAATGGGGAACCAATGGGAAGGGCAGAGAATCTAAAACTAAAACAGAGATAGCAGGAGCTTTGAGTGAAGAATGGCTAAGTGGTGTACATAGGAAAACTGGACACTTGGCAACAGAAATCTCAGTCTCTGCAAAATTTTATGCTTTTGGAACATCTTCTGGAAACCATATCAACTTGGACTTGAGCATATCATTTATTTTACATTATACCTGAGGCCTGAATATCTGGCTTTGCTTGAGATACCCCAGACATGCATATGGCTCTGGAGATGCATATGACTCCAGTGGTGGAGTACAGAGAAAGCCCAATAATTTTTGAGATTGTTTCTACCAGCCTGGGAAAATTAATATTTGAAAGCTAGAATAATATGGCATTTCTTGCACAGAAGAGTTTGTGGAGTAAAATTGAAACCCACTACAATTGTTTTTCAGAGTCATAGAATTACTATGACATTGAATTAAGAATGTTATTTAGATAAAAATATATTTAATAACTTCTTTTAAACATGTATTTTTCCTAGATAGTTTTCATCAGAAAGTTTTTGTTTGCTTGAATTTACCTTCCATGCCAAGTAAACACGCTCCATAAAAATGTAATTTTATGGCAGCAAGTGGAGATTCCTTCACTGTGTTCAGTAATCCATTTCAGTTAAAAAAACAAATGCTTTATTTTTTGGTAGTTGTCACTCCATATGGCTGTCGTTTTGATACTGTTTTATGTTGTATTGAGCATGATAGATCAAGAGAACTAATGTATTGATCATCTGGAGAGTTAGGTCTAGATAGACATAGTCACACAATTAGCACTAACTATGTCAAGAACTCTGTTGGACCACTTTGCTTTGCTACATTGCATAGCAACGTAGAGAACTCTTAAATATTAGACAAATATGCGCAATTAGTCAAAAGGAAACCAGACAGAGGTTATCAGTATAAATCTGCCAGTATTATTATAAAGCAGTGTACAAATTTTGTTGTTGGTAGCTCATAGTTGAATTCTCATCTTACATTCTGGAAAAAGTAATTAAGGGTTCAAAAAAGTAATTAGGAAATCAGAAAGGTTCTATTTGAGGTGCACAGTAGACTTTCATTGTTCCATGTAGCCTTAACTCTGGAGTTCCGTGTAGACTTATATGAGTTCATTCTTCAAACTGTGTGACAGAATATCAGGTTTATTATTTTATTATTGCTCAGATTACCAAAAAAATTTTTTGTAAACAGTTTTAGGTGGATATGATTAGCTTCTAGTTATTTCTTACCTGTCAAGACAATAGTAGTGGAATGAACTGAATACAGACTATCAACTAAAATAGTAACACCTCTTGCAGTCAAAGTAATGTGGTCCACGTCTATAATGACTTTAGCTAATATAATAATCTAAAAACAAAAAAGAGGCATAGAATCATTAAACATTTTCTACTCAGCTTCTGTAATTAACCTTTTATTTCTGAGGGGATACTTCTCAGAAAAGTAAGAGGGGTAATTTGGTATGATTCAATGAGAAGCGAGCTGTGTGGGGAGGACCTAGAGTACATATCCCTATCTGATCACTGCAGTGACCATCGTAGGCCATATTATTCCTTCTACGATGTTTGCAACTTTTGCATTGTTGAAGTTTGGGTTCATAGAAAATACTTCTAAAGGTCATAGGATAGAAAAAGAAGAATAAGACCAAGAAGAATCCAGATACATAAGGTTGTCTACATGGTTGAAGAATTAGGTGATCAGCTAAAGATTTGCAGTTAGAAAACTTGTCTTGGACACTACCATGTTTCTCTACCTATTTCCTTGTAAAATAGGGTTGATGAAAATAATACTATATTTCTATCCATCTGATAGGGTTGTTATAAGCATCAGATGAGATATAAAGACAAAAGTGCCTTGTGACTTGTAAAATTCTATATAAATGAAGAAATCCTCATAGATAATGGAGTTTTTATGAAGTGAGGAAGGGACTGGTGTCAAAAATACTGTGAATTTTACAAAAGCAGTAAACGTTTTTCCAGATCCAAAGTTTTTTCTAATTTTTCAGTTTTCACTAAAAAGACATATTGATTTGAAGTTTTAACCTTCAATTTTATACCTGAAAAGCTGCCATTGCCTTCTCAGTTTCAAATGTTGATTCAAGAAAAGGTTCAAAAGTTGATATGGTCATTATTCCACTTTCCAATATTAAGTATTGTTGAAAGCGACTACTGAAGGCAAAAAGGGTTAACGCATAGCCTGCTCTTAAACGAATATCCTAGAAATAGGAGAAACATGCATTATCTTTAACTTACTTCATTTGTCATGTTACTCAAGGGTAATAGGTTTTGAATTCTTGCATATTAAGATACATTTCATTTGTATCTCTGGGAGTAAAATATGACATTATTGGGGAAAACAGATAATAGAGTTACCCCAGAATGTTACTGAACAGATAAAACAGAGAATTAGGTTGTGGTATCAGGGAGAAGAAAAGAGAAAAATTTTAATTTTTAAATGGAATGTTAGATTACTGATTATGCAAATGAATACCTAAATGGTAATAGGAAACTCCACGATTTCATTAACCTTCAACTTTTGTTTCAACATATTTTTCTTTCAGTATTTTGAAATAGAGCTGATAAATCAAAACTTCTCTTGTATAGCATGATATATATTGAATTTTATGCCTTGTGAGATATCTGTCATTTCTTAAAATAAGTACAAATTTTACAAAAATTCTACTGTACTATATTCTAAGGGAGAATAAAAGAAAAATGGTTTCCTTTTAAAAATCGCACTTTAACATTCTGGGAGTGGGCAAACAGAGCAAAAGGCAATTCTCCCTTTGGCAGTCCACTTGCCAAAGATTAACAAGTATGGTCCATATAATACAATCTTATCATTAAATCTTATTTATAATATTTTATTTGAACATGGTAGTACAGAGAGAGAGAACCATTAATCTTAGTGTGAGAGAACAATTAATCTTAGTGAGTTTTCTTCTGCTGCTCTTAATCATATAAAAATGCTATAGGTACATACGGAAATATTTACAGATAAAATTATATGATGCCTGAGATTTGCTTCAAAAGTAATATAGGGGAAATGAGGGAATATATAAATAAGCTTGGCCATGAGTTGATAACTGCTGAAGCTAGGTCATGGGAATATTTGAGTTCACTATGCTACTTTGTCATTCTTTTTCTGATTGAAATTTTCAATAATAAAAATTATGTACTGGTGCGGCTCCCGAGAGCTCACAGCGCAGGAGCAGAGCAAGCACCGCCGAGGCCCCAGGTCCCAGGCAGCAGCAGCGGCGGCCGGGATGGCAGGGCAGGAGCCAGTGGCCTGAACACCCTCTGCAGCCCCTCTCCTGGGTCTTCATGGGCCTCGGCTGCCCCAGCGTCCAACATTTCCACCCTTTCCCTCCCCTCCCCCAAAACTCCAGCAACAAAGAAAAGTAGTCTGAGAAGGAGCGGCGATGCGTGTTGTCGCCCCTCCTCGCCCAGGAAGGCCAGGACTTACTGAAAAATTAGAAAGGAGAGAGCGCAGACAGCAGAAGCAAGAAGAACTACAATCCTGCAGCCTGTGGAACAAAAACCACATTCACAGAAAGACAGACAAGATGAAAAGGGAAAGGGCTATGTACCAGATGAAGAAACAAGATAAACCCCCAGAAAAACAACTGAATGAGTAGAGATGGGCAACCTTCCAGGAAAAGAATTCAGAATAATGATAGTGAAGATGATCCAAGACCTTGAAAAAAAAAATGGAGGCAAAGATCGAGAAGATTCAAGAAATGTTTAACAAAGACCTAGAAGAATTAAAGAACAAACAAACAGAGATGAACAATAAAATAACTGAAACGAAAACTACACTAGAAGGAATCAATACCAGAATAACTGAGGCAGAAGAACGGATAAGTGACCTGGAAGACAGAATCGTGGAATTCACTAACATGGAACAGAATAAAGAAAAAAGAATGAAAAGAAATAAAGACAGCCTAAGAGACCTCTGAGACAACATTAAACGCAACAACATTCGCATTATAGGGGTCCCAGAAGGAAAAGAGAGAGAAAGGACCAGAGAAAATATTTGAAGAGATTATATCAAAAAAAGATTATATCAAAAACTTCTCTAACACGGGAAAGGAAATAGCCACCCAGGTCCAGGAAGCGCAGCAATTCCCGTACAGGATAAACCCAAGGAGAAACACGCCAAGACACATAGTAATCAAATTGGCAAAAATTATTGAAAGCAGCAAGGGAAAAACAACAAATGTCATACAAGGGAATTCCCATAAGGTTAACAGCTGATTTCTCAGCAGAAACTCTACAAGCCAGAAGGGAGTGGCATGATATACTTAAAGTGATGAAAGGTTAGAGCCTACAACCAAGATTACTCTACCTGGCAACTATCTCATTCAGATTCGATGGAGAAATCAAAAGTTTTACAGACAAGCAAAAGCTAAGAGAATTCAGCACCACCAAACCAGCTCTACAACAAATGCTAAAGGAACTTCTCTAAGTGGGAAACGCAAGAGAAGAAAAGGACCTACAAAAACAAACCCAAAACAATTAAGAAAATAGTCATAAGAACATACATATCGATAATTACCTTAAACATGAATGGATTAAATGCTCCAATCAAAAGACACAGACTTGCTGAATGGATACAAAAACAAGACCCATATATATGCTGTCTACAAGAGACCCACTTCAGACCTAGGGACACATACAAACTGAAAGTGAGGGGATGGAAAAAGATATTCCATGCAAGGGGAAATCAAAAGAAAGCTGAAGTAGCAATATTCCTATCAGATAAAATAGACTTTAAAATAAAGAATGTTACAAGAGACAAGGAAGGACACTACAAAATGATCAAGGGATCAATCCAAGAAGAAGATATAACAATTGTAAATGTATATGCACCCAACATAGGAGCACCTCAATACATAAGGCAACTGCTATAAAAGAGGAAACAGCTATAAAACAGCTATAAAAGAGGAAATCGACAGTAACACAGTAATAGTGGGAGACTTTAACACCTTACCTACAGCAATGGACAGATCATCCAAAATGAAAATAATTAAGGAAACAGAAGCTTTACATGACACAATAGGCCAGATAGATTTAATAGATATTTATAGGACATTCCATCCAAAAACAGCTGATTACACTTTCTTCTCAAGTGTGCATGGAACATTCTCCAGGATAGATCACATCTTGGGTCACAAATCAAGCCTCAGTAAATTTAAGAAAATTGAAATCATATCAGGCATCTTCTCTGACCACAACGCTATGGGATTAGAAATGAAATGAATTACAGGGAAAAAAACGTAAAAAACATATGAAGGCTAAACAATACATTACTAAATAACCAAGAGGTCACTGAAGAAATCAAAGAGGAAATCAAAAAATACCTAGAGACAAATGACAATGAAAACACGACAATCCAAAACCTATGGTATGCAGCAAAAGCAGTTTTAAGAGGGAAGTTTATAGCTATACAAGCCTACCTCAAGAAACAAGAAAAATCTCAAATAAACAATCTAACCTTACACCTAAAGGAACTAGAGAAAGAAGAACAAACAAAACCCAAAGTTAGCAGAAGGAAAGAAATCATAAAGATCAGAGCAGAAATAAATGAAATAAAAACAAAGAAAGCAATAGCAAAGATCAATAAAACTAAAAGCTGGTTCTTTGAAAAGATAAACAAAATTGATAAACCATTAGTGAGACTCATCAAGAAAAAGAGGAAGAGTACTTGAATCACTAAAATTAGAAATGAAAAAGGAGAAGTTACAACAGACACCGCAGAAATACAAAGCATCCTAAGAGACTACTACAAGCAACTCTATGCCAATAAAATGGACAACCTGGAAGAAATGGACAAATTCTTAGAAAGGTATAACCTTCCAAGACTGAACCAGGAAGAAATAGAAAATATGAACAGACCAATCACAAGTAATGAAATTGAAACTGTGATTAAAAATCTTCCAACAGGGCTTCCCTGGTGGCGCAGTGGTTGAAAGTCCGCCTGCCGATGCAGGAGACACGGGTTCGTGCCCCAGTTGGGGAAGATCCCACATGCCGCGGAGCGGCTGGGCCCGTGAGCCATGGCCGCTGAGCCTGCACGTCCGGAGCCTGTGCTCCACAACGGGAGGGGCCACAACAGTGAGAGGCCCGCATACCGCCCAAAAAAAAAAAAAAAAATTCTTCCAACAAACCAAATTCCAGGACCAGATGGCTTCACAGGTGAATTCTATCAAACATTTAGATAAGAGCTAACACCCATCCTTCTCAAACTCTTCCAAAAATTTTCAGAGGAAGGAACACTCCCAAACTCATTCTGTGAGGCCACCATCACCCTCATACCAAAACCAGACAGAGATACTACAAAAAAAAGAAAATTACAGACCAATATCACTGATGAATATAGATGCAAAAATCCTCAACAAAATACTAGCAAACAGAATCCAACAACACATTAAAAGGATCATACACCATGCTCAAGTGGGATTTATCCCAGGGATGCAAGGATTCTTCAATATACACAAATCAATGTGATACACCATGTTAACAAATTGAAGAAGAAAAACCATATGATCATCTCAATAGATGCAGAAAAAGCTTTTGGCAAAATTCAATACCCACTTATGATAAAAATTCTCCAGAAAGTGGGCATAGAGGGAACCTACCTCAACATAATAAAGGCCATATGTGACAAACCCACAGCAAACATCATTCTCAGTGGTGAAAAACTGAAAGCATTTCCTCTAAGATCAGGAACAAGACAAGGATGTCCACTCTCACCACTATTATTCAACATAGTTTTGGAAGTCCTAGCCATGGCAATCAGAGAAGAAAATGAAATACAAATTGGAAAAGAAGAAGTAAAACTGTCACTGTTTTCAGGTGACATGATACTATACATAGAGAATCTTAAAAATGCCACCAGAAAACTACTAGAGCTAATCGATGAATTTGGTAAAGTTGCAGGATACAAAATTAATGCACAGAAATCTCTTGCATTCCTATACACTAATGATGAAAAATCTGAAAGAGAAATTAAGGAAACACTCCCATTTACCATTGCAACAAAAAGAATAAAATACCTAGGAATAAACCTACCTAGGGAGACAAAAGAGCTGTATGCAGAAAACTCTAACTGATGAAAGAAATTAAAGATGATACCAACAGATGGAGAGATATTCCATGTTCTTGGACTGGAAGAATCAATATTCTGAAAATGACTATACTACCCAAAGCAATCTACAGATTCAATGCAATCCCTATCAAATTACCAATGGCATTTTTTACCATTGGTAGAACTAGAACAAAAAATCTTAACATTTGTATGGAGACACAAAAGACCCCGAATAGCCAAAGCAGTCCTGAGGGAAAAAAGCGTAACAGGAGGAATCAGACTCCCTGACTTCAGACTATACTACAGAGCTACAGTAATTAAGACAATATGATACTGGAACAATAACAGGAACATAGATCAATGGAACAAGATAGAAAGCCCAGAAATAAACCCACGCACCTATGGTCAACTAATCTATGATAAAGGAGGCAAGAATATAAAATGGAGAAAAGATAGTCTCTTCAATAAGTGGTGCTGGGGAAACTGGACAGCTACATGTAAAAGAATGAAATTAGAACACTCCCTAACACCATACACAAAAACAAACTCAAAACGGATTAGAGACCTAAATGTAAGACCAGACACTATAAAACTCTTAGAGGAAAACTTAGGAAGAACACTCTTTGACATAAATCACAGCAAGATCTTTTTTGATTCACCTCCTAGAGTAATGGAAATAAAAAGAAAAATAAACAAATGAGACCTAATGAAACTTCGAAGCTTTTGCACAGCAAAGGAAACCATAAACAAGAGGAAAAGAGAACCCTCAGAATGGGAGAAAATATTTGCAAATGAATCAATGGACAAAGGATTAATCTCCAAAATATATAAACAGCTCATGCAGCTCAATATTAAAGAAACAAACAACCCAATCCAAAAATGGGCAGAAGACCTAAATAGACATTTCTCCAAAGAAGACATACAGATGGCCAAGAAGCACATGAAAAGCTGTTCAACATCACTAATTATTAGAGAAATGCAAATCAAAACTACAATGAGGTATCACCTCACACCAGTTAGAACGGGCATCATCAGAAAATCTACACACAAGAAATGCTGGAGAGAGTGCGGAGAAAAGGGAACCCTCTTGCACTGTTGGTGGAAAGGTAAATTGATACAGCCACTATGGAGAACAGTATGGAGGTTCCTTAAGAAACTAAAAATAGAATTACCATATGACCCAGCAACCCCACTACTGGGCATATTCCCAGAGAAAACCATAATTCAAAAAGACACACGCACCCCAATGTGCATTGCAGCACTATTTACAATAGCCAGGACATGGAAGCAAGCTAAATGCCCATTGACAGATGAATGGATAAAGATGTGGTATATATACACAATGGAATATTACTCAGCCATAAAAAGGAACGAAATTGGGTCATTTGTTGAGACGTGGATGGATCTAGAGACTGTCATACAGAGTGAAGTAAGTCAGAAAGAGAAAAACAAATATCGTATATTAACGCATATATGTGGAACCTAGAAAAATGGTACCGATGAACCGGTTTGCAGGGCAGAAGTTGAGATACAGATGTAGAGAACAAACGTATGGATACCAAGGGGGGAAAGCTGCGGGGAGGTGTGGATGGTGGTGTGCTGAATTGGGCGATTGGGATTGACATGTATACACTGATGTGTATAAAATTGATGACTAATAATAACCTGCTGTATAAAAAAATAAAATAAAATTCAAAAGTTAAAAAAAAAGTATGTACTTACAAAATAGTCACCTGGTCACAGGCAAGAAGAAAAGTATTAGGTACAAAGGAATAGTGTCCAGAGAGTGAAGCAGGTGGTAACAATGTTGGAGGAAAAGTAGAATGATTGAGAGTGGAATGGGCAGTAGAAGGAAAGGGAGAAGATGGGTGTCCCTGAGGAATAGGGTAATGAGAGTAAAGTGTGGAAGGAACAGAGTGGAGAAGGAAGAAATGTAGTTTAGAAAGTCAGTCAGACATGAATCTCTCATCCTGTTTTTGCCCATATTACAGCAGCACTTCTCCATCTTTTTGTGTACTACACTAGAGTAAAATTCTGTATTTAAAAAAATTAATGCGATGACTTCATTTCTCCCCCTTACAATCCTTATTCCTTCCTCAAAATCTCCCAGAACTGAGAGAGACATAGTTGGCAATTTTCTCCCCTTATTGCTAAATGCACTGTAGATAACAAAAGTTTGGGAGTTTCTCTATTTCTCTAGGGCTAGTGTGGCCCATGGACCAGTGTCAGTCCACAAAATCATTGACAAAAGGATTATAGAAACTGAGAATAGACATTTAAAAGAAACAGCTCTTCCTTACAGTTAAATACCAATTAATAAATTAATAAAGAAGGGAAATTTTTTTATAATCGCCATTAGGCAGATGCCAGAGTAATTATTATTGCATCAGTGGATCCTAAAATTGGTGAGCAAAAGTACGAGGCAAAACAGAATATTTCCATAGTCTCAAAGCGTCTCACCTCAAGGTACTTATTAATTACAAAGGGAAGAACAATAACTTTACAGTGGAGAAATATGCCAGACACCACTTTAATCAGGCACCCAAAGTTAACATTGCCAGTTATAAGGTATATCAACGTGTACCCCCTGAAATGATGCACAGGGAAAGTGAGTGAAGACTATGGTATTCTTGCCAAAATGCATAACCTCAGTTTAACTGTGAGAAACATCAGATAAATTGAGGGACATTCTATGAAATAACTGGCCTGGACTCATCAAAAATATCACAATCACGAAAGACAGAAAATCATGAAAGACAAAGGACTGAGTGTCACAGATTAAAGGAGACTAAAGAGACATGATAATTAGACGCAATGTGGGATCCTGGATTGAATTCTGGAATAGGAAAAGGACATTGGTGAGAAACTGGCAAAATTTAAAATGAAGTCTGCAGATTAGCTAATACTATTGTATCGAAGTTAATTTCCTGGTTGACATCCAGGAAAGCTATATGAAGGATAGCCAGAACACCCTGTACTGTTTTTGCAAATTTATGGAAAGTCTAAAATTACTTCAAAATTTAAAATTTGGTTGCTTTAGGGACTTTCCTGGTGGCGCAGTGGTTAGGAGTCCACCTGCCAATGCAGGGAACACGGGTTCAAGCCCTGGTCCGGGAAGATCCCACATCCTGCGGAGCAACTAAGCCCATGCGCCACAACTGCTGAGCCTGCGCTCTAGAGCCCACGTGCCACAACTTCTAAGGCCCACATGCCCAGAGCCTGTGCTCTGCAACAAAGAGAAACCACCGTAATGAGAGGCCCCCCCAAAGAGTGTCCCCCGTTCACCGCAACTAGAGAAAGCCCACGCACAGCAACGAAGAACCAACGCAGCCATAAATAACTAAATACATACATACATACATACATACATACATTTGGTTGCTTTAAAATTATTTCCCCATAACAGATTGCTGAATAAAAGGCTATTCCTTTATTACAAATAGTTTGAGAACCACCACTCTAGAATACTGGGTAAGAAGTGGATGACTGAGTTTTGAAATGTCATAAAATTAGGTTAAAGTTTGATGCATCCAAAAACATTTGTTTTTTGGCTCTTCACCAAGTATTAAAATTGCTACATTTAAGAATGGGAGAAAATATTTGCAGGAGAAGCAACTGACAAAGGATTAATCTGCAAAATATACAAGCAGCTCATGCAGCTCAATATCAAAAAAACAAGCAACCCAATTCAAAAATGGGCAGAAGACCTAAACAGACATTTCTCCAAAGAAGACATACAGATTGCCAACAAACACATGAAAGGATGCTCAACATCACTAATCATTAGAGAAAAGCAAATCAAAACTACAATGAGGTATCACCTCACACAGGTCAGAATGGCCATCATCAAAAAATCTAGAAACAATAAATGCTGGAGAGGGTGTGGAGAAAACGGAACCCTCTTGCACTGTTGGTGGCAATGTAAACTGATACAGCCACTATGGAGAACAGTATGGAGGTTCCTTAAAAAACTAAAAATAGAACTACCATACGACCCAGCAATCCCACTACTGGGCATATACCCTGAGAAAACCATAATTCAAAAAGAGTCATGTACCACAATGTTCATTGCAGCTCTCTTTATAATAGCCAGGACATGGAAGCAACCTAAGTGTCCATCGACAGATGAATGGATAAAGAAGATGTGGCACATATATACAATGGAATATTACTCAGCCATAAAAAGAAATGAAATTGAGTTATTTGTAGTGAGGTGGATGGACCTAGAGTCTGTCATACAGAGTGAAGTATGTCAGAAAGAGAAAAACATACCATAAGCTAACACATATATATGGAATCTAAAAAAAAAAAAAAGTGGTTCTGATGAACGCAGGGGCAGGAGAGGAATAAAGACGCAGTCATAGAGAATGGACTTGAGGACACGGGGAGGGGGAAGGGTAAGCTGGGACAAAGTGAGAGAGTAGCATTGACATATATACACTACCAAATGAAAATAGATAGCTAATGGGAAGCAGCTGCATAGCACAGGGACATCAGCTCGGTGCTTTGCGACCACCTAGAGGGGTGGGATAGGGAGGGAGGGAGGGAGACACAAGAGGGAGGAGATATGGGGATATATGTACATATAGCTGATTCACTTTGTTATACAGCAGAAACTAACACAACATTGTAAATCAATTATACTCCAATAAAGATATTTAAAAAAATGAGACTCTGCACATTAAAAAAAATTGTTATATTTCAAGACGAAATATGACAACTATGAAAAATATGGAACAATATTATTCCATCATTACAAACTAACAACCCACCAAAGAGATTTACATTTCTTAAATAATACATTTGAATATTGCCATGAAAAAAACTTGATGAAATTTTGAGGATGTAGTCTAAAAATCGTTTTCTTCTAAATGAGCTCTAATATTTTGTATAGTTATTACCTTATCTTGTGAGTGAAGAAGATAAAGGACATCAGCATAATTAAATCCTTCATTTTCTTGTAATTCATTCTGTAACTGATCATTCCTTAGGACAATGCATGCCAAGGAAAATGCCACTTCAACCTAAAAATGTGATTTTCAAAAATTATTTTTCACTCATGGTTTATCAAATGACATATTTCATTATACAAATATTTATATAGGATATACCAATTCAAAGATACCATAAAATCCATTAATTCCATCTCTCTGACTAGTATTTAGAGAGTGGCATTTACAACTTCTGGAGAAATGTCCCTTATAATTTTTAACAGCTGAGAAAATATCCTTCTGTGTGCTGCACAATCACAAAGTTTCATTTGAGGGCATAACGGGAGGCAACAAGGGCCTGCAGGACATGTGAAGAAGTTTCTCTTAAGTGCATAGTTGTATTCCTTCTACATCTAAAAAAAGGTTTTTTTAATTTCCTAGCATGAATTATAAAGCTGTTCTGAACTGCTTGTTAGCTACTGACCATTGAATTAATTGAAGCAAAACACTGGCAGGTAGACCTGAGGAAGTTTTCCTCTTCTAGTTCTGGAGTCATTTAAGGAGGTTGCTAATGAACCTTGTTTATTATTGGGCTCAGTAGACAAATTTTTAAAGTGCTACACCATGCATTTCTATGAAAAGTGTGAATTTGAAAAGCATGATTATTATTGCAAAATTACTATAGAATCTTACTTGAGGAAAAGTATTAAAATGTATTTATGTTTTGTTTTAACAAGTTTAAGAACTCAGTGAAAATGTATACTGAAATACAGATAGATGCAGTTGAAGTAAACTGGCCATGAAAATGCACATTTTAAAATAAAAATGTATTTTTATGTGGCATTTTCCTTCATCTTGTGAAATTTATTTGTACTTTAAAAGTCGTTGCAGTTTTTACGTATAATTCAAGCCAAAAAATTGCTAGCATATGCCTCTTTTTTTTGTTTCCCTAATCAACTCCTGTAATGAAATAATCTCTTTCACAGCAAGAAAAGCCAGATAACTTATGACATCTTTTCTGATAATAAACACATTCCTTAAAAGAAACAACGCTATGTTTACTTATATATTTTACTCCTATATTATTTTTATTTTCTCATTTCCAGCAGAACACATACCAAATTTTGAAGAGAAAATATATTTCTTGTCCTTATAATTTCTGTCTGGCCAAGTATAGACGTCCTGAATTTCTAAAACCTTGGTAAAGGATTTGAATAGATGTGAATGTCGTTTTATTAAAGGCATTTTACTAGAAGTAAATGGAAGAGTGAATGACTCCTCAACAACTCATAGTAATACCTAGCAGTGTCCACCCTTGAGATAACTATTGCTGCCAGACAACACAGACTGCTTTGTAGACGGCAGGGCTGTATTGATGGTGTGGCACTGACAGGATTCACTTATATTCGAGAAATTTTGCTACATAAATCGCACATCCTCATTATCCCCACCCAGTTTTAGCAACCATTATCTGAGGAAGTAGGGAAGAAATTCTATGGATAATCAAATATCTGAGGAATAAAACTTCTTTGATGAGTAAGGACATGAGACTTTCTTATTATATTTGAAAAAACCATATTTTAATAAAATTTAGTGGTATCTTTGCTACTATCTTTGTAGCAATTTTTTTGTTTAAACTTCTAAGATTTTGTTTAAAAGGTTAAATATTTTTATTATACTTGTGAGCTTGCCTAAAGATACAAATTATTCTTAAAAAGTCATTTATGTTAATTTTTACTATATCACACAAAAAAATCTTATATATACCTTAATGTTAGGAGAAGGGTGATTTCTCAGTAGTTGGATAAGTACTGGAAAGGCATTTTCTTCTACAAGAAACTGTTGACTAATGGGATTGCTTGTATGGGCGACACCTGTAAGAATCCACAACTCCATGAGATAATATTTTTTCCATCTTGAAAATGGTAAAGTCAAACATAGCTCAACATATTTGGTTGATAATGTGTCCTAGCGTAATATGGTTGGTAAATTACAAAAAGAAATGCTATATTGACACTATTTTACCTTAATTAATTTTTTAAAAGGCAAAGTGGATAAACATGGAAAATTTACTGTTAGAAGTGTAGATGGTTTTCTAATAGTCACAGAACAAAGAAATTAGAAGTGCTGGACTATCAGGGAATAATAATGTAATAGCTATCATTTATTAAAAAATTATTATGTACAAGGTACTATAGCTTATAGTTGCTACTGTTTTCCATAAAAAGTTTTGTTTGTTTGTTTGTTTGTTTTGCAGTACGCAGGCCTCTCACTGCTGTGGCCTCTCCCGTTGCGGAGCACAGGCCCTGGACACACAGGCTCAGCAGCCATGGCTCATGGGCCCAGCCGCTCCGCGGCATGTGGGATCCTCCCAGACCGGGGCACGAACCCGTGTCCCCTGCATCGGCAGGCGGACTCTCAACCACTGCGCCACCAGGGAAGCCCATAAAAAGTTTTTTTTATAAAAATAACTCGAGTAATCACCTGGTTAAATTTCTGGATTCCTTAAATATACATACTAAAAAGATAATCTTACTTTTCCTTTTAAACATACTACTTTAAATTGCAGGTCTAATCTCAATGAAGAAACTCAGATCATCTCTTTCTAGTGGACATGCACAAACAATTTAAATTTTGTTCTTTTGCCAATAAATGTCACAACACATATGCAGTGGGTTTACATACTTAAATATAAATACAAGATTGGGCTCCTTTATGAACAATGAAGAGA